CCTGGGCTACAAAGTGAGCTCAAGGCCAGCCTGAACTGCATAGCGAGACCCTGTCTCAAAAAGACAGAAGAAAAAAAAAGTGTTATAATCACTCTGCTTTACAGATGAGGAAACTGAGGCTTAAAGAGGTTAGATGGCTGGCTCACAGTCACACAGCTAATGTGTGTAGAATTCAAACCAGGCAGCTTGTCTGTAGATGTCACATTTGTTACCGCTGCATGATAACATCTCCCACAGTCTACTGCCCTGTAGAAACAAAGCTACAAGGTGTTTCTTAGCCAGAATATAAGATAATGATATTAAGGAGAGCTTCCATCTTGTGCCCATGTGTCAGCACTTGCACTCCTCTTTGTGTGGGTGCTACACATTTCTCCCACATTGCTGCTGATTTCACTCTTGTTGCAACTTCCCCTTTTGAAACTGCCCTGTTTAGGAGGGGCACTCTTAATGAGCATTTAATGCATAACAGGTAGATTATACATACTGTCATCTCATTTAATCTTAGTCCTTTGAGATAGGTATCGTCCTTATTTTACACATGAGGAAAACAAGGCCTGGGTTTCCTGCCTGAGGATATACAGCTAGTAAAAGATGGAACTGTAATGAGTCCAGATTACCTGACTGCAAAGTAGTCCTAGATTGCATCACCAAACAGTGATGTTTCTTTACAGTAATTCCCATGTTCCTCCTTTTGGACCCAGAATAGCATTATACAATTTATACACTAAATTCACCTCTGAAATTGTTAAGATGAGTTATCACAAGATATTCAAAACTAAAACTACTAGTGTTGACTTGATTCACAATAGTTAACGTGCTAAGATCTGTGGACATTTATTTATCATACGAATTGCTGACAGTTGTTAAAGCTGACTAATGGGACTACTGTGGCCTCCCAAAAAGTCAACTAGGAAGGGTAAAATTTTCCTGAGTTTAAGGTTTGGTACGGATCCTATTAAAAAAAAAAAAAAAAGCTGGGCATGGTGGTACACGCCTGTAATCCCAGCACTGGGAGGCTGAGACAGTAGGATCGCTTCAAGTTTGAGGCCATCTTGGACTACATAGTGAGCCCTGTCTAAAAAACAAAAACCAAAAAAAGCACCATTACAGTCACTCCTCGAAGAGATTATGTACTAGGTTTCAGAAGGGTGAGCAGTCTTGTTAGGTACAAAGGCAAAGTCAGATCCTCATACCTCTGTTTCCATGTCTTTGGTGAAGGATGATAACCTAAAAAGCTGACACCTTGAGAGCTCAAACATATGTGTGTTCTTTTTTGTTGTTGTTTTTTTTGTACCGGGAACTGAACTCAGGACCTGTGCTTGCCAGGCAGGTGCTTGTGCCGCTGAGCTATAGCCCCGGCTCTTAAATTTGTGAACTGAGGTACCACTTACTGGTGTGTACTTTCACACCGGGCTTTGAGATTCTTTCTTTTTTTTGGTTCTGGGAATTGAACTCAGGACCTTGCGCTTGCCAGGCAGGCGTTTGTGCCACTGAGCTATATCCCAGGCCCATTGAGAGCTCCAACATAAAGCACCGACTGAAGAAATGGCTCATCCTGCTTCTTGATACAGTAAGACAAAATTCAAACCCTGAGGCCTTAGAGGCCACCTCAAAACTGCCTCCTTCGAGAAGTCATCTCTGATTTATCCATCCCTAGATTACAATAGTACAAGTAATCATATTTAAACCGGGAATGTGGCACATGTGTGTAAGCCCAGCACTATGGAAAGCTAAGGCACAAGGGTTTTGGGGGGGTTTCTGAGACAGGGTCTCAGTAGTGCAGGCTGGCCTCAACCTCGTGGTGATCCTCCTGCCCCAGCCTCCCTAGTGCTGGGATTACAGGTACCACCATGCCGGGAGGCGGCATGAGGATTTCAAGATAAGAGTACCCGCCTGGGTACTAACTATCTAAAAAATAAAATTTTTAAAAAGGGCTGAGGATGTAGCTCAATGTAAAGACAAATACTGAGTTCCATCCCATATACCACTTATTGAACGTTACTCAGTAGCAGGCTGTTGTTAATTGCTGCACACAGATTATCTCAGTTCTGCCACCAACACTATTAGGAGGTGTTCTTGCCCATAATTTCCAAATGAGGAAGCAGGCACTGAGAGGTTTAACTGAACAAGTCAAATAGCAAGGAGGGCCCGAGGCTCGGTATTCATGCAGTCCAGAACTGGTGTTCCTAATCACTACACTCCCCAATCTCTTAAATCTCTTTGTGCTTTTTGCTTACTTTATCCCGTCATAATAATTCAAAGCGACATGCCCCAGAAGTCGGGAGACAAATGTTATTCCACAGCCCCTGACAGTTCAAGCGGCGAAGGAAACTGAGCATATGTTCAGTTGTTACTTGTTGAAATGAATGACGGGCGAGAATCGCTTTAAAGGGCTGTCGTGGAATACAGGACAGAAGTAACGAGGTCCTTCATGCTGTGCAACAGTCTTTGTGAAGGCTCCAAGCACACTTTGGAGGCACTGTCTCCTCCCCGTCTATCTGAGTTTTCAGAGGCGGTCCACAGCTACGCTCTTTTTTGTTTGTTTGTTTTTCCGGTACCGGGGATCGAACTCATGACCTTGCACTTGCCAGGCAGGTACTGTGCCGCTGAGCTAAATCCCCAGCCCCCCACAGCTACACTCTTACAACTGTCAGAAAGCCGGCTGCACTTTCCCTATGCGTCCTGTTAAGGTCTAAGTTCCAGCTCTTTTACTACAGTGTGACTAGGGTAAAACTACTCTCCTGCCCTCACATTTGATTCTGAGCTCAGGGGAAGAGAGCCTCTTACCGTCACTGCGGAGTCCTCTGCGCGGAAGCATGTGGCACACCTGACATGTGCGCCGCCATCTTCCCGGAAACGCCGTGCCGGGCTTCCTAGCCGACTGAAACCATAGAGACGCCGGCGGGAGCTCAAATCTTAGTCCTCCCAAGAGATCTTGGCTAATGCGGGCCGGCGGCATGGTTGCCATAAGGAACCGCCCCTTGGAAAGTGTCTTTCCTGAGGTTTCGAGGGCATTCCCTGGCTTTTTCCCCTCAATCCCTGAGCCGCCGGAGGACTCCGTCCTACCCAGCCCCCTGAGAAGGCCGAGAGCAGCTTCGGATCCTATGATGCGCTGATTCCGACATCAGCACGAGGAAGGGAAAAACAGGGAAGGGTCGGGACTGGCCTGAGCTGTTTGTGGGGAGCAGAGGAGGAGGGGCACCTCTGCGGTGATTTATGGGGATTAACGCTCAGCCTTCAGGAACAGTTATTTAGGAGACTGGAGAGTTGGTAGGTTCAATGAACACTTTCTGACCCACCATTCGTGTCAGAACCTCCCCTCTTGGTGCTGGGGACACAAGGCTGACTACGTCACGCGCAGCCCAGGAGAGACAGGACAACATAGACCCCAGGTGCAGAATCCCAGACCACGCACGGCGGAGGCACTGGACTTGCTGGGAGCTGAGGGTCTGTGATGCAGGCAGGGAAAGAAGCCACTGCGAGGAAGTCAGCGACAGGAGCTGCTCCCCGGCTTCTAGCGTCCGGGAACACCAAAACCGAAGCGTGCCCTCATCTTGCCTTCCAATCGGTGTTTCTGTTCGCTTAACGCCCCCTACAGACTACCACGCAGAAAAGTCTCTGTTCAATCGGCTCAGCGTCGCTCACCCCTTCACCCTCGTAAAATTTTTTACCTTTAAAATATGCTCACTCTGGATCTTGATCGCTGGGATTTTAGACGCTTGCTGAAGGCACGTGGGATGCCTCAAGTACTTGAAAGCAGGATCCAAGAGGGGTGAATGAAGTCAGATCTGATTCTTTTCCCACTTTGCCATGCGTGTGACCTTGAACAAACCATTTCTCATGATCAAGAGTACCTTTTCTCTGATTTGTAAAATTAAAGTATTGGACTGGTTCGATTATTTTTATAAACTTGAGTTTTATGCGTTTCAGGAACCACTGAGAATATTCTGTAGATACTTTCAATTTCCACCCCTATCTCTCCTATCCCTTTTATCTGATGTGTGTATAGTATTATATGTAATAAAGAAGATTGGAAGCTCCTAAATGATGTCATTCCAAAGGCCTTGCCAACCCAGAATTTCTGTATGGTACACTGCAGACTGCTCCAAAAACTAAGCCGTGTAAATCTTTGATAGTGAGTTGATTGTGTCAATTTAAGTAAGAAACATTCAACTAAATTGGAACAGCATAGTTCTGGGTGTGGCTGAGATTTACTGGAAGATTTGCTGGGTTTTACTGGGCGTGACAGCAACCAGTAGGGCTGCTGTCTAAATGGTATAAAAGGAAAATGAAGAAGGCTTCCTTCTGTTTCTTCAGAGAAGCTCTTGTTGTCACCTTCTTGGGCGTCATCTGGCTTACACCATTGACCCTTCAACCTCCTGATACAGATTCAAATGGGACACTACAGTGAATTCCAGGCCTTCGCCTGGCTCCTTCAGATCTCCAGCACTCAGACAGACCTTTTGCACTCTTCCAAACCTAACTCTGTGGGTAGCCACTGTTAACCAATCTTGTAAATTCTTTTTTTTTTTTCCTTGTAAATTCTTACATATTTGTATATCTTGCATTAAATCTGTTTCTCTAGTAAGCACTGACTGATACAGACTCAATTTCTAATCTGGCCTAGGACCTTCAGCTCCCTGGTCCACCAAGCCTCACACATTAAGAAAACAGGTACTGAGGATCCCCTATAGACCAGGGAGTAGTGGTATGTAAAGGTCGATCCCTGGTCCTTTCTGTCAGGCCTTCTAGTCTTTGGGGATATGGACATGTTTCCAGGCATATACATTTCTCAGTGATGAAGGTGAGGACACAGTGCTTTGGGGTAAGAGGAGAAGCATCTGACCCAGTCCAGGGCCCCTGGAAGCTTTCAGAGGGGTACTAGGACTTCGGGTTTGTCCCTGGGGTGTGTGAGACTGTAAAAGAGGAAGAGGCCTTAAGGAATTTGGAGTTTAATGAGGTCTCACACACATTCAGAAGGGTGGAAATAAAGGCCAGTATGAGAAAATAATACATGGAAATACTCAGGCATAGTGGTGCACACCTGTAATCCCAGCACTGGGGAGGCTGAGGCAGGAGGATCACTGTGAGTTCAAGGCCAGCGCGGACTACATAAATGAGTTCAAGGCCAGCTTGCACTATGTAGTGAGACCCTGTCTCAAAAACAAAAGACACTTTTTCTGCAGTGGAGTGCTCTTTATTTTCGTACAGGCAGGCACTCTGGCATTCTTCGGAGTAGGCGTGTTGTTTGAAAGCATTGAGAACATGATTTGATAGTTTTAAGTCCATTCCAATTCCATCTCCTACCTGAAACCCAGGTGCAAAATTTTCCATTCTTGCTGTATTCTTTCTCCCGCACACCGCTTCATCGTGTCTGGTCCTGATGTCTTTTCCTTTTCCAATAAAGACCCTTTATGAGAGTGGAAACTGGCTTTGCTGGCTTGTAGGGGTCATGGAGAGTATCCTGCCAGTCAACCTTGTCTTCAGAGTTGTCGCTGTCTTCAAAAGGATGCACTTTTGGGTAATTTTCAAAGGAAATGGAAACTTTGCTGTTGCCGTTGAATTTTTTTTTCTTCACGCCTCAGCTGCAGCATCTGAGCCAGTATCGGGTCACTGGAAGTGTCAGCGTTTGGCCCCCAAAATAAATGGTCCTTCAACAATGGCAACTTCAGGAAAAGCAGCAGTTTCTTCTAACTGCAGTTCTTTAGCCAACTGTCTACTCATTACATCCGACAAAGACAGGATGTTGTCTTTTGGTGAATAGCCCACGGACACTGGCTGGGTTGCCAGGCTTCTGCCAGCTTAGGTCAGGGAATGCTACTCCCACCAGATCCACTGGGGGAAGAAGGCAGTGACAAGGACAGAGCAGCGAGGTGGCAGGACAGGGAGAAGCTTCCGCTGAGACAGGAAGGGCAGCAGGGAGCAGCAGTGGGTGTCAGAATTAAGGTGATAGATGGCTGTGGTGGCTGCTGTGTCCCTTTTTTGTGGTGACTACTTGTTTTGTGTGTGTGTGTGTGTGTGTGTGTGTGTGTGTATACTATACTGTTTTTAGATTTTTTTGTTTTTAGATTTTTTAGATTTTAGATTTGTTTTTAGATTTTTTTGTTTGTTTTGTTCTCCTTTTTGTTTTGTTCTTCTTTCATCCTCTCCTGTCTTCTTTACCAGTTTCCTGAGGTCAGGGGAATTTTCCTTAGTCCTTTAAGCTTGCTTCTTATCTCTTCCTTCTTTCATTTCTCCAGTTTTTCCTCCTTGTGAATTTTCTCCCCTTAGGGTAGAATTGCTATATTGAGTGGATATTAATTATACATAATTTTCTGACTTGCCTTAGATTTTGTTATATAAGTCTCATACCTAGAGTTAAAGGTGGCAAATAATTAGTTATCACAGTTTCTCATTTTCCAGGCTGTGCTTGATGCTCTATTACTGATAGTACTATTTAACCAAGGTGACGTAGTTGTGATCAATCAATCGTCCTTGTATGCCAATACCTAAATTATATGGGGATCATAAGTAATACTACAGTCCAGTACCAAAGAACTGGGTGGTAGGGCAAACAGGCTGCAACCTTTCATTCCTAATAAACAGAAAAGGCAGGATTCGGGGACAGACTCAAAGGCCAAAAGCCAGCTATGCCCAGAAGACATCTTTGATAAGTCGCCATTGCCTTAAGAGGTTTTGATAGTAGTAGTAACACTACCTACCATAAGCAATTTACAAGCCTCAACATAGAAAATAAATTAACAGAAAAATATAGAAAATGAGAAAACATGGAAGAGAGATGCAACCCAACACCCCCAGCTCACCTAAGGCAAATCTGGGGGCATTGAGGTGGAAAAAAATCAAAAGCCACCCACTTAAGCTGTCAGAGAAAAGAAAGAAATCACCTATAAAGGAAAACCTATTAAAATCACAGAAGACTTCCCAACATAAACACTTAAATCCAGGAGAGTATGAAGTATTTCAAGCCCTAAAAAAAACAGCCTCCAACGCTGCAAAAATTATCTTTCAAAACTGATGGAGAAATAAGATACTTCCATGTTAAAGAACACCTGAAGAAATTCATGACAACCAAACCAGCACTCCAAAAACTTCTGAAGGATATTTTAGTAAGACACAACAAAGACAACAATTCAAAGAATCCCAATAGGAAGAATCCAAGGCAAGCAATTAAACAGAAGGGAAAGAAAGGGAACCAACAATAAGAAAATAATGAAATGACAAGGATAAGTCAATACCTATCAGTTATAACCATCAATGTGAATGGTCTCAATTCACCAATCAAAAGAAAGAGGTTGGCAAACATGTACTAATAAAATAAATAAAAATAAAATGGAAAAATCTGGGCATGATAGTGCACATCTGTAATCCCAGCACCTAGGAAGCTGAAGCAGGAGGACTGCTGTGAGTCTGAGGCTGGCTTGGGGATAAATAGTAAGTTCCAGGCCACCCTGAACTACAGAACTATGTAGTGAGCCCGTGTCTCAAAAAAAAAAATTTTTTTTTTTTTTTTTTTGAGACAAGGTCTCACTATGCAGTTCAGGCTGGCCTTGAGCTCACTTTGTAACCTAGGCTGGTCTTTAACTCAAAAAGATCCTCCTGCCTCAGCCTCCTGGGTGCTGGGATTACAGGCATGCGCCACCACAACCAACTCCCTGTCTCAAAATTTAAAAAAAAAGGAAAAACTGGAAAGAACTGTAACATCCTACAACAGGAGAAAGACTACTGAAATTATAATGTAAGTATATAATGGACTAATATCTAGTCTTTAAAAATGGTGTTAGGCTAAGAACATAATTCTGTGGTAAAATGAGGCCCTGGATTCAATTACCAGCACTGCCTAAATAAATAAATAAAAATAGGGTTGGACTTCGTGTTGCACTGCTGTAATTCCAGTGTGCTGGGAGGCTGAGGCAGGACAATCCAAAGTTCAAGCATTGTCTTGGCAACTTAGTAACTTAGATCCAGTCTCAAAATAAAAATGAAATAAGGATTGAGAATGTAGCTCAGTGTGAAGGCCCTGGGTTCAATCCCCAGTACTGGGAAGGAAGGAAGGAAGGAAGGAAGGAAAGAAGGAAGTAAGGAAGGAAGGAAAGAAGGAAGGAAGGAAGGAAGGAAAGAAGGAAGGAAGGAAGGAAGGAGTTCAAGGCCACACTCAGTTACATAAGGAGTTCAAGGCCAGCCTGGACTACACAAGGAAACCCTGTCAAAGCAAAACAAAACAAAACTAAACAGAAGTCAGATAGACATAAAAGGCCATATGCTGTATATTATTCTGCTTTCGTGCAACACCCAGGACGGGCAAATCCACTAGCACAGAAAGTAGATGGCTGTGGGGGCGGGGCTGAGTGTAGTTGGGGACCCCTGGTTACCTGCTGAGACCAAGTTCTCACCTCCGCTCGATGTTACCAGAAGCAAATCTCTTCAAAGGGGCCACCGATGAAGAACCTGCCTGACCTTGCTGTTCAGGTCCACGGTGGCACGGGGCAAGAGTGCCAGGAGGGCTGGGCCCCTCAGGAGCTGGTGCCTGTGGCCCGCAGGTCTGGCCCCCCCAGCTCTGAGGTACTCGTCCTCTCCTAAGCGGGAGGCCCAGCCCCGGGACGGGAACTCTGCGGACTGAGCAGGAATCCCCGCCACTCCCATCTGCCCCTCTTTATGGCGGGAGACTGGACGTCGGGGCAGTTTGGCCCTTGACCCTGGGTGCAGCCTTCATCTTCCTCGCTGCCGCCCCGGAAGAGGAGCGGGAGGGACGGGGCACGGGGACCAAGGTCCCAGCACCGAAGGGGTCCGGGCCAGTGCTCCTTCCCTCCTCTCCCCAGCCGCCCAAGTGCAAACCCATTCTCCAGACGCGGAGGGAAGATGGAGCGGGAGGGGCGCGGGAGAGCGGGGAGGGGGAGACGGCGCGCTCGGGGCGGGACGAGGGCGCGGGGCTCCCGCCCATCGCGAAGTGACCGTGCAGATGCTGCGCAAACGTTTTCTGAAGCGGCAGTTTAAACGTCCGCACGCCAGTGGGGGACAAGCGGGAAAGAGAGCTGAGACGGCGAGAAAGAGGAACGCACCGGGCAGGCACGTCGCACCTCGGCGCTGCAGTGCGAGCCGCCCGCGCCCCCAACGTCGCCCGCCGAGCCTCGGGGAGTGGCTCGGGCTCCGGCTGCGGCTCCGCACCCTCGCGCGGACTTCAGGCCCGCGGCGGCGCCCACTCTGCGGGTGGCTCTGCCCCCTGCTGGCGCTCTGCTGTATTGCACACTGCCTTTAGACTAGGACTCCAAATTCATAGATGTGGCCTACGAAAGCAGAGAAGCGCCTTGAAAGGTCAGAAGCTTAGGCAGCAACGTACATATCAAAGGGTATTTTCTCTGAGTGCTAGTATTAAGGGGTGCTTTCGCTTTTAATGTTTTTATGTTTGTTAAATTGTCTACGGTTAAGTGTAGGGGCTGAGATGTGGCTCAGCAGCAGAGCACACCGCGTGCACACACACCACACTGTAGTGGAGTTAAGTGTATGATTGTATAATCAGTAACAAAGGCAATCAAAGCTGGGCGGTGGTGCAGCCTGTCATCGCTGCACTGGG